CATTTTATCATTTGTTTTGTTTAAAAACTGAATGAATATTTTGAATTATTGCTTCTAGGCTAAATCAGCAAAGATCACTCTTCACAAGGCTAAGTAAAGTACCAGATGAGCATGAAAAATATTTGAATTTGTACATGTCAAACTTAAGGTGTTTCTGTCTTCTTCTTTGCTGTTGATATTTAAGATTAATTAGTGTAGGTACCTGATTTCATTTAAGGCTTATAATATACATGTATATTACATGAAAGATATCGATAATCCAAGCGTTAAACAACACGCGCGCAATGCTACCGCTTTTGAGGTCTGAATCTCCCTCTTTTTCATCACAATAGGTTAACATGTATGGTATGACAGTTAGAACAGTTACTCCTTGAATGAAATGAAAAAGAAGTCCAGTTCCGTTTAACACGATAATAGGTCAGTAATCATTCAGCACAATGTGAAGTAATCATACTCAGTCATGCCTCACCGCACGCATGAGAAAGAAGACAGTAATCAAACAATGGAATTACATGTTTTGCTCTAAATTGTCCAAACGCAGCAATGTTTAAACTATCTCTGCTTTGGATTGTTTTTATAAGCCTCCCTAGTATGAATATCAATAGTCTCTTAATTGCGATTTTTTGTCTCTTTTAAATAAAAAATAAAATTTTGAAAAGTTACATTGAAATAGCTAAATAAAGCTACCTGAGGTAGGTAAATAAAGCTACGTAGGTAATTCTACCTACGTAGCTAAATCTAGTGATTGCACTGGACCTGGTTATATAAAGAAGTCAAAGGTTTTGTGCCCACCTTTAATCTTCAAAATAATCTATCCATTATGTAACTTCTTCTAAATTGTAGCAAATACTAAAGACTATTATCATTTCTTCTTACAACTATTTAAAAAATACTCTAAATACATGAAAATGAAACTGAAAATTACAAACTTTACCTTTGGGGTTAGGGACCTTCTACATTACATACGGAAACATTCACATGTCGCTAATTTTCAAACTTTCCGAAAGGAGATCATTTTCCCGGAAAAAAATTAAGTTAAAAATTCGATTTTGATGGATGATTCGATTAGAATTTATTAGTTATTGTTGAATATCTTTTATATGCACAAATAATTAGTTGAAATTTCTTGTATTTAAGAATGAGTTTTATCAATTCATATAAAAATCGTCGCCCAAGGGCGCCTTGTACATGCATACCTGTCACTCTCATGACTTTGTTCCAATTTTCGACACATACATTGCATCACAATGTAAACAAGACAAACTGATAAATCATGCTTCAAAGTATATCATTTTTACAAGTCTGTTATGTTCTCGGAGTGGTAAATGTTTTATTACAATTTGAATTTATAAAGACTACTTTAATTGATTAATTTAAAAAATAGAAACATCAATGATAAAATTTTTCATATATCACGAGCTTTTTATGAAAAAAGTGCTGATTATTTAGAAATGATGTAATTAATAAAGTAAGCAATCAAAATTTGGGAGAAATGATGAAAAGAGGAGTTAGAGGATTGATCAAAATCGACGAGCAAAATATGTCTCGTGCGAAAATGATGAAAGTAAAAGTGACAAGATTTTTCTAGATACATTGTATTTCATGAAGAAAAAAAATTCCTCAGTTTGCAATAAAAGTTGAATAAAATGGCAAAAAATCAAAAGCAAGGTCTAAAAATGATAATATCCAATTTTCCACACGAGTTTTTTTAGATTATAACCAAAGTACACGTAAAAAAAAAATCTTTATTCAGGTAGGCCTATCTTTTATAGGCCTAATTTATAAATCATAGAAATTCTGCCAAAAGAATTTTTCGAAGAAAAGTTCTGTCTGTCATATTTTTCTCATACCTTTCAATCAATTCATGTTAAAGTCATGTAAGTGATAATTATATTTTATATTATTTCTAGATACTAAATTCACAGATCGAATATGACCGATTGAATAGTGATGTACATATATACATTGGCGGATATATTTATTTTTTGCCAAATGGAGAAAGAGAGAAAGAAGGGGGATAAAACGTTTCCCGAGAATAAGTATTTGTACGTCTAACTTAAATATGTATTGAACAGATGGATTCTCAACATTTAGTTTTTCCATTCAACTATTACTTTTTATGAGTGAATGGTAGAAAATATTCTACTTATTTTTATATATCTAATATATGATATGTAACATGCGAGGTTAAATTTGATATTAGATTCCCGCGATCTTAATTTGACTGTGTTGGCTATATACAAGAAGGTGCCGTTTTTTAAAACTAAATCTTATGAAGGAACTAAAATTTAATTCATTGTTTTATACCCAACCCAAAAAGGATTTTCAAATTCTTTAAGAAAATTCATTCTACTCTTCGGAAATGCTACAAATCCATTCAATTTTAAGGCTTCAGTAGTTTTTTAAATGTGTTTAATTTTTTTTTATACGGACTGGGGGTACCTTTTCAAAGAAAAAAGGACGTAGAACATATATATATATTTTTCCATTGTGTGTGTGAATCTTTGCCTGAGAGTGTGTAAAGGGGGGGGGAGGGTTAGAGGGAGACACCCCTGGAACCCCCCTTTCAAAAATTGCTGGATCCGCCCCTGTATATATATATTTAATTTGAACTGTTGAAGATAAAGTTCTACATGTAACTATATATGTAGTCATTTTACCATCGTTGCTAACAAGAGCTATGAGCAAACTCCGGACAATGGCTTGATAACATATGGTTTATTAAACCTATATATATTTTTAGTCACGAAGAGGGGGGTGGGGTGGGGATGACTCCCTTTAAGTCCGAGGGTGTTCAAATTATTTCCTCAAGGGCATCCACTTCTAAGTACTAGTAAGTCAAGAACTCTGATGCTTAAAATCTTTTTGAGCAACAATTTTCATTTCTTGCATCCCAGTATGATTCAAGGTTCAAATTTAGAGTTTTAAAAAAGGTCTTGCAAAAATATGACATCTCTACCGCCGTAAAAATGCAAAACTAGACACATTTTTCGAGAAAAATCGATGGGTGGATCTAGAGGGAGCCCTCCCCCTTGGAATTTGAAAAGTTTTTAAATGCATATACTAATCCAACTAAAAGTGACCTTGGGCATATCATGACCCCAGGGGCTAGGATGGGGCCTCAATGGGGTATCAAAGTTTAACATAGGAATACATATATAGGAAAAATCATTAAAATTTTTCTTCTCAAGAACAACTAAGCCAGGAAAGATGGAAGCATCCTCATGTAGTTTAGATTCAAGTTTGTTCAAAGCAGGACCCCCGGGGGAAGGGTGGGGCCACGTTGGGGTATCAAAGTTTTACATAGGAATACATAGGGAAAATCTTTGAAAATGTTCTTCTCAAGAATCACTAAGCCAGGAAAGACGAAACTCATGTGGAAGCATCCTCATGTAGTGTAATATTAATGCTTCAAGTTTGTTCAAATCAGGACCTCCGGGGGAAGGGTGGGAACACAGTGAGGTATCAAAGTTTTACATAGGAATACTGTGACATAGGGAAAATCTTTAAAAATGTTCTTCTCAAGAACCACTATGCCAGGAAAGATGAAACTCATGTAGAAGCATCCTCTGGTTGTGCAGATATGTTTGTTCAAATCATGACCCCGTAGGGTAGGGTGGGGCCACAATTGGGTATCAAACTTGAACATAGGAATACAAAGGAAAAACCTTTAAAAATCTTCTTCTCTAAAACAGCAAAGCCATGATTGGTCATGGATATATGGAAGCATCCTCTGATAGTGTAGATTCAAGTCTGTTCAAATCATGACCTTTGGGGTCAGGATGGGGGGCACAATGGGGGATCAAAGTTTAACATAGGAATACATTATACGTGTATAGGAAGAATCTTTAAGAATCTTTTTCTCAAGAAAAGCAAAGCCATGATATGGAAGCATGCTCTGGTAGTGTAGATTTAAATTTTTCAAATCATGACTCCTGGGACAAGGGTGGGGATATTATGGTTGATTAAGTAGGATTACATAGAAAAAAATCCTTTAAAAGTCTTCTTCTCAAGAACAGCAAATTAAGCTGTAATTGTCCATAATTATATGGAAGCATCCTTGTGTAGTGTAGATTAAAGTTTACGTAGGAATACATGGGAAAAATCGTTAAAATTCTCCACAAGACTTGAAGAAGAACAAATTAAGCCGTGATTGATCATGAATATATATTTATTATTCCAGATTAGGGCCCTTGTGGGGCATATTACATACATGATTATTAAACAGATCATATATATAATAGTTATTAACAAGGTGTGATATAATAGTATAGTATTCAGCATATTAATATAAAAGCATCAAAAAAGATAATGTAGAATTAAATTTGTTCAAATCATGACCAGTCAGGAGAATAGAGGACCCATTAAAGTGGTTCATAACAAAGGAACGTATTTTTTACTATTGAAAATGTTTATTGAAAGGCAGGTACCCCCCCCCTTTATACTACGGTAAAGCGATGTAAGGGAAATGTAGATTAATTGTAAGCCAAACAAATCATGCAAATTGGTACTGAAAGAAGTTGGCCTTGAAAAAAAGTTGGCCTCTACACCCTCCCCCCTTTATTTGCCTGTCAACTTTTTCAGGTACAAGAAAAAAATTCTCTGGCTCCCCCTTTCAAAAACGATGCTACGTCACCGCATTATTAAGAGAGAAAAAAAAACAATTTATTACGATTTCATCTCATACTAGTGACATTATAAATAGAGTCTATTTATATAAATGTACAGTAAAGTTTTTTTTATATGTAACGAACTGATAACAGCTGCACGGGCAGTGGAAGTTAATGTAATTTTTTTTTTATACATGCACTTACTATATTTACATTAACTTCCAGTGCCCGGGGAGAAATGTATGGAAAACGCAATAATACATTGTAACAAACAAAACATTAATCTCAGCGGGATAGTCCCTACGACATCTCGCAGAGATTAACAAAACATGGATCCGCCCAAGTATTTCATCACTCTAACAGTCCAAGAAGTAGGTCTTCATGTTCCAACTGAATGATAGATCAGAGGTAAATTTTGCTTTGGCGTCGCAAACAGTTACTCATAATGATTAGAAGACTATCATTAAGCACAGTAAGCAAGGAGGCTGGCTTATCGCGCAAGATAAGGGTAAGTTCATTGATCCTCAATGTGTGACAGAGATTCAGCGACTTAACTCGAATCAGGAAAATTATTCCTTTTCTTGACTTGTTTTATCAGTTATTGGTTGGCGTGACACAGTGATAACCGTGTTGAATTAGGGCAAAATCTCCTCGATTTCAAATATATAACGATGAGACAATATCTTTCATGCAGACCACTGGATATCATACATCATTAGGCCTACATGTAGATATTTTGGATAATCACGCAAAAATGCCTCTTGAATAGTGTTGAAGGATAAACATTGGATATCATATATAGGAGGGAAATGTAAACAAACCAATCTTTGATAGGTCATTGACCTGACAGTTATGGATTAAAAAAAAAGAATTATACTACTAATAATAAAAATATACATGCATTCATACAAGGTAAAATTTTTAAAAAGGCAACCTAGAGCCTGTATTTTTTTCTTTATTGTCACAATTACAGATAGCTCATAATTATACTTTTTTCATCCTCGCTATGCCAGGGATCCTCAGAGTTATTATATTGCCATACTGACTCTGAGGTCATCTCTGGCTGTTTATTCATATAAACTTCTATTTTGACAATAATTTTTAGCTCACCTGAGTTTAAGGCCCAAAGACAGAGGGGGCTTCAGGTGCTATAGTCACTGCACAAAAAAGTAAAATGACAAGCATCCCAATTTTTTATTGGTGCCAAAAGTCACAGTATGTACATATATAGAAATACATTGTACCCAAAATTTAATGCATGATAAAATTATTTAGTTTTGTAATTACATGTAACTTACAATGAAGTGCATTTAGAAGTGCATGATAAAATCGATCTGTTTGGATGGAAAGAAATATTTATCATTGTTAATTCCTAAGACATATATCCCAGTACTCTTTAAATGCAACTATAGCAGCATGAGTTACACTGATTAGAAATGGAGATTTTAAGAGTTAAAAAAAAATAGAGGGAAGGAGTCCCTCGCTTCTGTACTACACTATAGACCCTTTTCTTATGATGTATATTGCCTAGGAGTTATTCCCCTTAGCTGCCATCTTGTAGGGCAATTAGTAAGTTTTTTCTCTGTTTACCTCTCTTTCAAAAACCTAGCAACACAAGCCAATTTTAAAAAGTCATAAAAATGACGCATTTGATCTAACTAAACTGCTTTAATAGAAGAAATATCTATTCTTAAGCAAAATAAGGGATTAAATGCTTAAAATATTTGTACAGAATTATTTGTATTGACAAAATTCAAAAATTTCGACTAAATCAATTGATTGTGTGTTTTTTCTTATTAAAAAACAGAGGCTGTAACAAATGTGAATTTACCTCTTTTGAGCAACCAATTTTAAACACGCATGCAAGAAATTATGAAAAATAGTCTTAAAATTATTTTTACTGTAACAAATGTATATTCATAAGAAAAATAGTGTTATCTAGCTTTACCTCAGTAACCAGTATAACAAATTGAACTTAGTTGAATAATGATTAAATGGATCTGGAAATGTTGACCTACAATATGGAGGCCATGGGGAATAACTCTTGCTTAAATCACCTCAATGGAAAACACTATTGTGGTACAAAGATCAAAGTAAGATTTAAATAGGTTGTAGGGATTGATTTCATACCAGAAGTTTGACAATCAGAATGAAAATGTTCATTATGATTGGTACATATTTAAGGTCTAAAAATTCTGATTTCCTAAATCGGAAGACCTTTCTGATTTTCATGTTTCCTATGATAATTATTCTCTTTTAAGTACAGAGATTCCTTAGAAACTACTATATATAAACCCATTTCAAGGATTTTTTTTTCTTTTTCAATCTTAAGGAATGCCAAAATTCTCTATTCTCTACTGTGGTGGAAAAAACTAACAAGAAACGTCGCCTGAATGTTGGAGTTCTGGGAGCAGGGCGCATTGCCACTTCTGTCCATATCCCCAATATTCTCAGGGACAGGAGATACAATATAAACTGGATCATTGAGGAGAGTGACCAGCAAACTCAAAAATGCCAAGAAGAGCTCTTTATTCAGGATATACCATTCTTCAAGGCCATAGAGAGAAAGCGATTACTAGCTGATAAAGGGTGACCATTAGAAAGGAATTTTCTTCTTTGTAGATCTTTTTCACATGTGGTCTTTATTTTTGTCCACATTCTAAGAAAAAATCCTGCTGTTGAAAAAGCAACCAACTAAATTTGATATGATTAATGATGATTTTGGCATTGCTTAATTACAATAAATTTAATGTTTAAAGACAAATATTTTTGAAGACTAAAGCATGAAGAGAGAAACAATGTTATAGCAGTTTTAAAATTTTCAAGTGCACTGTAATTTACATATTTTAAAAGTTATTTAATTTGAAATCTGAAACAATCTTGTATATTTCCAGATTAGATGCCATTTTTATATTTAGTCCAACAGCAACCCATGCAGAATTCATTTGTGATGGCCTAAAAGAAGGTTTGTGGAACATTCAATTTTAACACATTTCTTAAAATTCAAATGGATGTGTGAAAATTAAAAGATAATATTTTTTTGACAGGTAAATCAGTCATGGTGGAAAAGCCAACTGCAGAGTCTTACACTGACATTAAGACCTGCTATGAAACAGCAGAAAAATATGGGGCAGTTCTCCTAACATCTTTTCAAAGGTTACAAAATAATTAGGGTTAAAGTGTTACATTGTAATATATACATGATATAGAAAAAATTTAAAAATCTTCTTCTCAAGAACCACAGGGGCAGAAAAGCTAAGACTTATGTAGAAGCATCATTGGGTGTAGATTCTAAATTCATTTGGTCAAATTATGACCCCCAGGGTAGGGCAGAGCCACAGTAGGTATTACAAAGGGGGGAATCTGGTAAAGAACAAAGTTACTCAGGTGAGGGATGTGGCCCATAGGCCTCTTGATTAAATATGTCTGTTAGTTAATAATCAAAGTGACTTATCTCTTTACATGTATTAAATTATGTCCATGAAACAATGATAAGGAAAAAATGGAATGTAATATATATAGACTTGAAATGCATATATATATATATATTTTTTCTTACTTATCAGTAAAACAACTTTAATGACCTTTTAACATTTACTGCAATAGACCTTTCTATCATTTTCAGGAGATTTGATTCAGCTTTTTCTGAACTAAAAGAAACAGCCCTGAGTGGACGTTTGGGGGAGCTGCAGTTAATTAGACTCACCTCTCGAGATAATCCTAAACCCTCATACGAATTCCTGTCTAATGCTGGTTAGAAGTTTGTCCTTATTTCATCTCACCTGAGTAAAAAGGCTGAAGTGAGCTTTTATGATTGCATGTCTAAATTGTCAATATATTTTTTATGAATACCGGTATGTCTGAGGCATATAGAGTTTGTTCTGTCCATCTTCTGTCTGTCCTTCCGGCCTGCTTTGTGTTCAGCTCAGTTTCAAAGAAACTGTTCAAGATATTTTTATTAGACTTCAGATGCTGATACATATTGATGAGAGCTATTCAACTGCATCAACATTTTTCTAATCCTTGACATTTACTTTGACCTTGAACTCACTTTTCTTGAATAAGTGTTTAGCTTAGTTTAAATGAAAGCATTCAAGATAGTATTAATAAACTTTATACGCTGATACTTGTTGATGAGAGCTATTCAACTGTATCAACATTTTTTTACCTTGACCCTTCCTTTTACCATTGCTTCATTTTTAGCTCACCTCAACAAAGTTGGGGGAGCTTATGTGATACCCTCGGTGTGGGTGTCGGCGTTCCAGGTTAAGGTTAAGTTTTTTGGAGCAGTTTTCTTTTGAAGTATACTTCTATGTCCTATATTGATTAGACATGCATGGAAGATGCTTCTAGTGTGTTTCATTGTACCATTCAAGGTTTCAGATGCTGCAATTTCAGCAAAGGAATGACCAGCTTAATGTTTTTTGAGCAGGTTAACATTTTTGCTGCAGTTTTTGGTGTAGGTCTCATTTCCAAGTAACTATAAGCCCTATGTTGACCAAACTTGCATTGATGATACATCTTAGGATGCACACTACCAGACATGCTTCGGATGCTGAATCTGACCTACATTTTCCGCATGAGTGAACAGGTTAATGTTTTTGGTGCAGGTCTCATTTACAAGTAACTATGAGCACTATTATGACCAAACTTGCATGGATGATGCATACTACCAGATTTGCTTCGGATGCTGAATCTGACCTACATTTTCTGGTTGAGTGAACAAGTTAAAGTTTTTGGGGCAGGTTTCATTTACAAGATACTATGAGCCCTTTTACAACTAAACTAGCATGGATGATACATCTTTGGATGCATTCTACCAGACTTGCTTCGGATGCTGAATCTGACCTACATTTTCTGGATGAGTGAACAGGTTAAAGTGTTTGGTGCAGGTTTCATTTCCAAGTTACTATGAGCCCTATAATGACTAAGCTTGCATGGATGATAAATTAAGGATGCATACTACCAGGCTGGCATCGGATGCTGAATCTGACCTACATTTTCTGGATGAGTGAACAAGTTAAAGTTTTTGGTGCAGGTTTCATTTCCAAGTAACTATGAGCTCTTTAATGACCAAATTTGCATGGATGATACATCTAAGGATGCATTCTACCAGGCTGGCTTTGGATGCAGAATCTGACCTACCCGGTACATTTTCCGCATGAGTGAACAGGTTAACATTTTTGGTGCAGGTCTCATTTCCAAGTAACTATGAGCCCTATGTTGAGCAACTTGCATGGATGATACATCTTAGGATGCACACTAATGGACTTGCTTCGAATTCTGAATTCGACATACAGTTTCCAGATAATTGACTAGGTAAAAGTTATGGGTGCAGGTCTATTACCAAGAAACTCTAAGGCTTATATAAACCAAACTTGCAAAAATGATGCATCAAGGGATGAAAACTCTCAAACTTGCTTCAGATGCTGGATTTTAATTACATTTTCATGACGAAGAACTAGGTTAAAGTTTTTATATAGATCTATTCCAAAGTATCAGATCAAAATTGCAAAAATTTTGCATTTTTGGATGTACATTTTTTGTTGGTTAATTGTGTGACTTTGTCTAACTTAAAGACAACATTCGTTGAGGTGAGCTCTGTAATCTCTGATTACCTATGTTTCTCTTCTTCTTTAATGAGAATATTTAGCTAAGTTTTAAAGAAACCATTCAAGATAGTGTTATCAAACTTCATATGCTAATACACATTAATGAAAGCTATTCAACTGCGTCAATTTTTATTTTCCTTTGACATATTTTCTTGACATCACCTTGACCTCACTTTTCTTTTAATTTGCAGTTCGCTTAGTTTTAAAGAAATCATTTAAGATATTTTATGTAAGCTTTTGCACTTGCACATAATTTGGTGAGAATTTAAATCATATTTATCCAATTTCTTAGATTATAATTTCAGTTTTAAAGAAACTATTCAAGACATTCTGATCAAACTTCATACAATTAAATGTGTACAAATTTTCAGGTTGCATTACTGATATACCCTTGGTGGGGCATTCATGTCCTATGGGCATATTTCTAATTTTGGTTTGATTTTCACAAATTGACTTATTCTTTAGAGTCTTTTACCCAAACCTTTGGGGAAAAATATTTGGCATAAATATTCGTGAACATAAAAATGGATTCAGATGACATAAGCCTCTTTTAAATTACCTGCCCCCCCCCTTTCCCGTTGCCAAAGAGATGCTGTATCAGTGGAAATTTTAGCGAGATGCAAATTTAGCGATTTCTACCTAAAATCTGGTATTTTATTTTTAGCGATAAGTTATTTTAGCGATTTTAAAATAATAACTAAAGAAACTTATACAAATAATACGCAATTAATTTTTAGTGATATTCAATTGCACCATCGCTAATAATGCCAAAATTAAATCCTCGCTAAAAATTCTACTTATACGGTAATATATTTCATAGATCTTTTTAAAAAATTTTTGCAATTATATGTTCTGAACTCCAAACTTTTACCTATAAGTAATGTAATTAAATCTGTTGCTTATATTTAGACAGCACTGGTTGTAACCTGATTTCTGACATGGCCGTACATGACGTTGACATGATGGTTTGGTTAACATCCTGTTCTAAGCCAAGATCAGTGTTTGTCATGACACATATCCGAGACGAGATGCTTCAGAAGATTAAGGAGCCTGATGCTGGGGTCATTTGTGTAAAGTTTGAAAATGGAATGATTGCCACCATTGATGTGTTCAGAGAGTGTGTATACGGCTACGATATCAGAGCTGAGGTATGTTTATAGAGTGTTTATAGGGCTATGATATCAGAGCTGAGGTTAGTTTAGAGAGTGTGTATATGGTTATGACATCAGAGCTGAGGTATGTTCAGAGAGTGTGTATATATGTATGGCAAGCCAAATTCACAGAAATGAGCTATAAACATAGTTTCACAGTTGATAAACTAGGTTTATCGACTGTAAACTATAGTTTACAAACCATGAACAATAGTTAACAATTCGTTAACTTATATATCTGTAAAACTATATTTAACAGTTGTTAACTATAGTTTGAATTCATCTTAGTTTATCTGTCTGTAATAAAACGTTAATAATAGATTTTGTTGATAATCATAGATACATGTCTGTAAACTATAATTTACAACCGTGAACTATATAGTTAAGAGTTGTTAATCATAGTTTCACAAATCGTGAAACTATATTTATCAGATCATTAACTAAAGAGTTGTAAACCATAGTTTACAAATTGTGAAACTGTATTTATCAGATAATCTATGTTTTGCAATCGCAAATGATTGTTTTCAGTGTTAAGTATAGTTTACGATTCTGAAACATAGATTATCACGTTAACTAATGGTTTACATATGTTAAATATAGATTAACGTTGTTAACTATAGTTTACAGTCCGTAAACTATAGTTTAGCAATTGAATGAGTTTATGACTGTGAAACTATGTTTAGCTCATTTTTGTGAATTTGGCGTTACGATATCAGAGCTGAGGTATGTTTAGAGAGTGTGTATATGGCTATGACAACATTCGTTGAGGTGAGCTCTGTTATAACCTCTGATTACCTAATGTTTGTTCTATCCATCCATTTGTTTATTTAGGCCATAATAAATAAATTGCTAGATTCTCATCTGAATTTTTTTAAAAATCGAGGCGGGCGGGCGGCTTTTATTTTTATATTTTTTATTTTTTCAATTTTGTAGATTTTTTATTGACCTGGTCAATCGGTGTAATTTTATCTACAATACCCGAATAAAAGTCAAAGTAAAGGTTCAATTATCTGATTCTCTTACTTCACATCTTCACCAATCTTTTTCAACCAATGACCCCTGTTCAAAATATATATGCATGTATTACACCGTCTTTTCAGCTGTCAAAATCATGTTGACTTTCGCGGGATTAAAAACGAAAGTAGAATGGTAGATGAATACCGATCCCGATCAGAATTAAGATGAAGAAAAACAGAAATAAAAAAAATCGAGGCGGGGGTATAAAATCGGGGCGGGCGGGGATGAGAATCTAGGAATATTTTTATTATGGCCTTATCTATTTGTCCTCAAAAACTTTTAACTTGTCGGGTCTTGCCCGAAACTGAAACTGTGGCTTTCATATTTGATTTGTATATTTCTTGTGACAAGACCTACCTTTTAGTACCAACATATTTGACTCTTGACCTTGAAGTTTGACCCATTTTTAAAAAAGTTTACTAAATTTTTATCTTGGCTATAACTAGGGCTTTCATTTCCTTGTAACAAGACTTTCTTTAGATTTCAACATTTATGCACTCTTTTCCTTGGAATTTGACTCACATTTGAGAAACATGAACCTCCACCATGAAACACATCTTGTTTTCATCCATATGAAATATATTATTGCAGAGATTTATTTTACTGCTATATTTAATTTTTTGTAGTTATTTGGTACAAAGGGAATGGCAATGGCCGACAACCCTCGGAGGTCCTCATTCTGTGTGGATTATTTAGAGGGCTCAAATATGCCCCCGCTACATTACTCCTTCCCCCAGAGATTTGAGAAAGCTTTTGCAACTGCTGTGTCCCATTTCTATAGCTGTCTTGCAGGTAGTTATGAATTCATCCCTTATCCAGCTAAGTGATTTTCATTCTCTGTGGTTTTGAAAATCATTATAAACTTGTTTACATGAATAATGAATTACATTTATGATGAATCAGAATTGTTCATGTTCCTTTAGTCTTTACTATAAGTATGTTTTACTGAAACAGTTTCTGTAAAAACTCTTGAGATAATCATAGGTAACCATAATGGCTGATTATGTCTTTTAATATTCCATTTCCAGGGAAACAAATTACAATTGTTTATTAGAAAATAATAATCCCTGTGTCTTTGAGTTGGAAGGGGGGTCCTTAATATTTAAAAAAAAAACTTCTTAAATCCAGTAAAAAAGATGTACTTGTGTTTGTGATGATCTTCTTGATCTTTCGTTTGGACCATGTGTATTATATGGTACAATGTGTTGATTTAGTTAGAATAGGGAAGTGAATGAGATTTGCATTTTATTCCTAAAATACAAAATTTATAGACATTGGCCAAGTTTTAAAAAGACTAAGATCTACTATAATAGCTTTTGTATATAATTAAACCTTAACACTGACAAATTTGTACTTGTGATGTTAGACAATATTAATGGCATGTGTTATTGTATCCATGTATATGAGAACTCAGAATTTCACAATGAAATGCTTTAATTAACTAAGGTGCTGTTGAATACTTTTAGGTGAAGTTAAACCTCTTATAACAAAAGAAGAATGCTTAATGGTGTCCCAGATCATAGATAAAGCAGTGGAGTCTTACCAAACAGGACAAGTGGTGAACTTCTGAGTGGTACCAAACAGGACAAGTGGTGAACTTCTGAGTGGTACCAAACAGGACAAGTGGTGAACTTCTGAGTGGTACCAAACAGGACAAGTGGTGAACTTCTGAGTGGTACCAAACAGGACAAGTGGTGAACTTCTGAGTGGTACCAGTGGGACAAGTGGTAAATTTCTGAGTGGTACCAAACAGGACAAGTGGTAAACTTCTGAGTGTCCCGGAATACTAGTCTTGTGTTCTGACATATTATTATAATATTTTTTTTTCTAAATGTCATATTGTTGTGGTTGTCCAAGATAGAGTTCTTTAGCAGTGAGAAACTGTTTACACTGTATCTCATGTTGACATGTTACATGTAGCAGAGTCCAGAGCTAATTAGATAACATATTAGTGGTACAGAGAATGTAGTAACAAATTATTAAAGTACTTTATATTTACATTGGGGCATATATATAATTGAAAAGGAGCTGTATATGTATTGAAAATATCATAATGTCTTCCATTAATTTGTATAAGTGAGATGTTTGAAATGAAATTCCCTTGCAAACTATGCATTAGCCCTTGTTTTTTTTTCATGAATCCAATAACCATGATATTTAAAAATGACAATATGTATGTTTTATGGGCATAATATTTTTTCCCAGTGAGGTCATCTGTACATTTTTTTTATAAATGTCCTCAAACTGGTAATCTATTGGTGGTTGTACAAAAAAGTTCTTAGATTTTAGTATTTTTTGTTATACCTGGTGTTCGTGATAAAACATGTTTATTAGGGCCCCGCAAGGATTTGCGGGTGCCCTATAGTAATCACTCTGTCCGTCCGTCTGTCCGTCTGTCTGTCTGTCTGTCTGTCCGTCTGTCACTCTTCCGTCCACAAATTTTCTGTTTTTTTCTAATAACTTTTTTTATGGTTGCCCAGTCAAGTTCAAATTTGGTATGATAGTTCAGTAGGCAGAAATACATATTTTGATGCTAAGTTTGGTTCTCTATGTCTTCTGGTTTGGAGATGGGGTGGTGGGGTAGATTCCTTAACTATGCATAAGAATGAATGGGCAACTTTTTTTTATGGTTGCCCAATCAAGTACAAATTTGGTATGTTAGTTCAGTAGGCAGAAATACATATTTTGATGCTAAGTTTGGTTCTCTATGTCCCCTGGTTTGGAGCTGGGGTGGTGGGGTAGATTCCTTAACTTTATTTACGAAAGCATTGGCAAAGAGAGATAACTGCTGAAGATGTTCCCATTGTAAATTGAATGCTGCTATGAGTCCCTTGGGATTAATTAGCTTTCCTCCTGAAGAAAATCCAGAGCATTACCTTTATCTGTGAAATTGAGATGAATTACCACCTCTGTCTGCAAATGAAGTTTGTTTTGAAGTTAAGTCAATTTGGAATGCTATGAACACTCTGAAATGTGGATTTAAATATAATTTTTTATAATTTATTTTTGTTTTATAGTTATGATTTCATTGAATTCTAATAACAAGAAATAGATTAAAGAAGATTTTTTGATTTACTTTTTTCACTTTATGTTAATTCAAGAATATTATTAATTTTTAGGATAGTTGTATAAAACAGGACAAATACTGAAAAAGTTCTTATTGTAACTTAAGGATGAATAACACAAACAAACTTTTTTCAGAAATCAGCATTATTTCTCATAGATTTACATTTAAATTGACAACCTGAACCTGTTTACCAAGTTAGATTCTAAATTATATCAGATTTTGTGATAAGGTTAAAAAATTGTCAAAAATTTCATGGAATTATATAGACATAAAATCTACATGTTGCAGAGGAAAACCTGCGATTTCTTTATATTTCAGATTTATTATTTATGTCATTTCAAAGAAAATCATTCAAAAAATATATATAAAGTACATTATATTTTGTTTGTGGCATATATATAAGAAGAAAATGATGAGAGAGTATAATTAATCCCTTGAATTAATATCATAATGCTGCCAAAATTAATTTTCTATAAGTGTCACTTTAAGATTAATGAAAACCTTTGCAAACTGCTGTTTTAAGCCTTCATGATATTTTTTCATTGAATCCATTTTATAAACATAAGCTTCATAATTGTTTAAATATACATTCAATTTTAAGTTGTTTTATGGGCTAATGTAAATACAAGGATATTATTTTCAGGTTTTTGAATATTCAGGAATTATCTTGAAATTTTAAGAATACAGTTGCTGGTTGTATTCAAAAAATTTTTAGATTTTAGTATTTTTTAATTCTACCCCATGGCGGGGCCCTCAATGCTGACTGGTCAGTTTTCTAGTTTTGTATAATATATAACCAGAGTATATTTTATTACCACAGAACTTTACATGATAAAAAATTATTAAATAATGTGATTGTTATAATACATGTATGATTCTTTATTTTACCTCCATTATTGGAGATCTGAAAGTGTATAGTTTTTAGTCTATTGACTCTATTCCTTTCTCTGTGAGTGTCTGCAAAATTAACTTTGGCCATAACTTTTGAACAGACGGTTTTAAGGATTTCATATTTCATTTGCATCCCTTAATTGTAACATTGTCTTTCTTTTTTTTTTTACCTCACACATGCAGTTTAGAATTCATTATGTTTGACCAACATGTACTTAAGTAAAACTTTATCTTTTGAATGGTTGGTGCAACTGGGCTTTCATATTTCACTTATGTATTCTTTGGACATCACCTTCTTTGGTCACCACACTTTTAACCTGACAGCCTTAAGTTTGACCTACTTTTGAAACACTTACTTTTGCCATGAGCTGCCATATGAGGGCATCAGTTTTTCACAAACACATTCTTGTTTTCATAGTGCTTTTACCGGTATTTACTCTAAACATACATACATGTAAATGAATTATGAAATAAATCTATTCTGTATTACTAAGTCTTCATATTCAAAATTTGAACTTGTACCTGGACTTAGGATTTTGTGTGCAGCAGTCTCAAATTCCTTTCTAGTTCACCTTTAAGTTAAGGTTATATAGGGAGTTTCAGTTAAGGAGTGTCACCAGGTCTATGTTCAAGCAACAAAAGCCATACCTGCATTAAACCCATGTTCAATCTGGGAATGTTCACTACCAGATATACCAAAAATAATACTGCTTTATAACACAAGGTTCGTGCAAAATCAAATCCACACAAATTAATCTAAAGTTAAAATTCTTACAAAAGGGTATACCTATAATTTCAGAAGGAGAGACTATATATAGATTTGTTTTTTGAGCAAGTTTTTTCCTGTTGGACGATCCCTCTAGGGATTTGAGACTTTGCCTAACTTATACCTAACAAGATGCCTTAAGGGGGGACCTATGTCGTTCTACGTCAAGGCAGCGTTATGTGACGTCACAATAGAGACGTTTGTTTTTACCTGTTGACTTTTGCAACTGTGATATAGGCATAACATTGTTGATAATCAATTACGTACAAAATTTACAAATAGGAAAATTTATTCAATATTAATCACAGTTTTATTTGATTTATGGAGTTTGTTAATATTAGAATTCTCTTCATTTGGTTGATAATTCATAGCAATTTCTGTTGTGAAAAAATACCCCGATAATATGCTGATATAATAGTGCAAAAAAGAGATAAAATTCAGGAAAGAAAGCGGCTTAAATCAGGGGAAAATGTTTAATTTTATAATTACCATTAATCGATTTTCTGGAGAAAACTAAGAAAAAAATTAAGAAATGTACTTGTACGGGTGTATATTTGCTCATTGATTTATATAGTACATGTAGATTTTATTGTATAAAGTCATTCCTAGGTTCTAATAGGCATTGTTTGTTGACGGGGAAATGGGGGGGGGGGGGAGAGAGAAACAGAATGAATGGAATGTAGAAAAAAAATTATCTATTTAAATTGTTTCTAATCAAAACAAAATACTCTTTTTCCGCAAAATAGTTTTATATTCAGGTATTTGTCAGTGCTTACTTACCCTTTTTTAGTGCAGAAAGGTCAATATTTATGACACAAGAGTACAAAAATAAAAGGAAACGTCATATTTCTCGTTTATTTTATCATAAAGGTATACTTTTTTCTTTGTTGAAATAAAGAGACGAATCATTTCTTTCAAAAAACATGAATTACAAAATTTTCACACAAAGACTTTTTAAGATATTACCTGTTATGCATGTCGGAATTGTAAAAAATACGACAAGAAAAATTGGGTAATACTTACATTGTGCTCCATTATAATTTTTCATGCGAGATGGATTTCAATGAATTTGCCTCCATTTTAAAGATACAAGTCATATAAATTAAATAAGTGCTGATTTTGAATATGATTTGACATTTTTGGTTCTTTTTAGCGCATATTTGGGGAAGAACAATAATGACTGAAAATAATCTATTTTTAGCATTTCACACTGTTTTGGCACGTGCTCCCGTGTAAAAATAAGCATATAAAGGTATTGTTTTTAATACCTAAAAATTAAGAGCAAGTGGTCTGGAAGGAAATATCAAAATTTCGAAAATTTCACACAAAGACTTTTCAGACATAGGTCCCCCCTTAATGTAAATTTGTTTTTACTCATGCATGTTTGATGTGATGATCCCCAAGTCAAAGTGGAAGGCAGTTCTTTAGCAGTTTTTTAACCTTAACAGTTCAGTGCTTTAGCAGTTCTTAGACAGTTTACTAGCCTTCTCCTTTTGGTGGAAGAAGGTTTTTGTCATACTGATCATTAGGCAGTTTTCAAGTAGCAGTCCACAATTTAAGCAGTACTTAGCCAGTTCATTAGCAGTAACTTAGCAGTTGCTTAGCAGTTTCCTAATAGCAGTATCTTAGCAGTCAATAGGAAGGTTAAGGAGAACTGCTTAAAAACTGCTAAACAACTGCTAAAGGTGTTTCCTTTCGTTTGCGCTACTTATATGGAAATGACTCTGAGTGACCTACATATAAATTTGAAAATTTATTAACTGCTTTATAAAAACCGGTAAAAAAAATGCTATAAGCACTATTCTTGTCTACTTATAAGAAGATAACACCACCCATATATGGTACATAATATATGAATACAAAAATGCATATAATTTTATGATGCTTCCAGGGTGATTTATTGAAAAAATAACATCACATATGGGAATTTAACTTAATTAGTATTGAGATTTAGATCAGGTATGAATTGTAAATAAGTCATTTCATTAAGTCCATTTTCGTGCATAAACGAGTGGCAACTTTAGAGCTTTGTTAATACAGTGGACTAATCTACAGATCCCTCTATCGGTAGCTTAAATTTATCTGCAAATATTTTGAATTTATATTAAGTACAAAGAATTAAAATACAAACTAGATTATACATTTTATTATTTAATAGTTATCCAAAATGAGAGAGGGGATGACTATAAATATATCACAAGCCCTCACACTTACCATATTTTCTGAAGCATACTTTACTGCCAACAAATCTTTTAAAAATTTTCCTATCACCCAATTCCATTGTTGCTATATGCATGTATGACCAGATTTTTATAATAATGATCTCCCATCTCATGGAAATTAATTCAGATACACTTAATTGTCACTAAATATTATGTTCACATCCAATCCAATGTGGTGATCACAGATAATTGTATTTTCCAAAGCCTATTTTACTTCTTCACTGTATGGGTATAAATATATATAATATTCCAGACCATCACAAACATCTTCACAATTTGTAA